TATATATATATATATATATATATATATATATAAATATATATATAATTCATATAATATATATATAATTCATATAATATATTTATATACATATATACATATATATATATATATATATATATATATATATATATATATATATATATATATATATATATATTCTTTTGCTTTCACGATTAATCTTTCTTCACTGTGGCTCATTGCAATATTTACGTATAATATCTAGAATTGCATTGAACAAAACACACATGCGCATACACACACACACACACACACACACACACACACACACACACACACACACACAATCGCTTTCTTGGTACATCATGGCGTGGTAACTCTACGGGGTAAAACGACAATTTCACTAATATATACGGTTGACCCTATAGGGCAAATACAAAAATAAAAACAACAAAAAAAGGAAAGATGAAGAGAGGGAAAGGAAGAAAAGGGATGAGAGAGAGGCAGAGGAGGAAGAGGAGGAGGAGGAGGAGGAGGAGGAGGAGGAGGAGGAGGAGGATAAAGAGGAGGTGGAGGAGGAGGAGGAGGAGGAGGAGGAGGAGGAGGAGGAGGAGGTGGTGGAGGAGGAGGAGGAGGAGAAGAAGAAGAAGATGGTGGTGGAAGGAAGGAAGGAGAGAGGAAGGGAAGGAAGAAAGAAGGGGGGAGGAAGGGAGGGAGGGAGGGAGGGAGGGAGGAAGGGAGGGAGGGAGAGAGGGAGGGAGGGAAGGAAGGATGGAAGGAAGGAATAAGGAGGAAAGGAGAGATGGAAGAAGAAGAGAAGGAGAAGGAGGAGGAGGAGGAAGAAGAAGAAGAATAGGAGAAGGAAGAGACTGAATTGGATAATAAGAATAAACATAATAACAATAAGCAGAAGAAGAAGAGAGTCTATATACTTGTTCCCACTTCCTTGTGGAATGTTTAAGACGAAGTCGAATAAAACAATCTCACAGGTTGAATTTGAAATTTACTTTAAGACTAGCAATCCAAGAAACTTAATTTTGATGCTAAGCCTTTCAGGAAATTACTTTCTTAATAAAGATATCATCATCTCAGTTCATAACAAGAGCTTAATCTAGACATTAATGGCCTTATATATTCTTCTGTTTCGCCTCTCCTTGTCCTCCTGTCCTCCTGTCGGTCTGTTTGTCTTCCTTTCTGTCTATCCAGCCATCTCTCTATCCATCTATCCACCCAACCAGATATCTTATCATCTGTCCATTCACCCACCTATTCATCCATTTATCGACTCACCCACCCATCCATCTATCCCTCACCCACGTACTCATCCATCTATCTATTCCTCACCCACCCACCCATCCATCTATCCCTCACCCACCCACCCATCCCTCACCTATCTATCCCTCACCCACCCACCCACCCATCCATCTACCTATCCTTCACCCACCTACCCACCCATCCCTCACCCATCCATCCATCTATCCATCTATCCCTCACCCGCCCACCCATTCATCTATCCATCTATCCCTCACCCGCCCACCCATCCATCCCTCACCCACCCATCCATCCATCTATCCCTCACCCACCCAACCATCTATCCCTCACCCACCCACCCATCCCTCACCCACCCATCCATCTATCCCTCACCCACCCACCCACCCATCCATCCATCTACCTATCCGTCTACCTATCCGCCTTTCACTCGCCGCCGCTCCCAACTTCCTCCACAGATTTCTCCTCCTCCAAAATTAATGGTACTAATTTCCTCGAGCCTATAATTAAACCTGGTCGCTGCCTGGGCTTTGCTTCCCCCCCCCACCTCTCCCCCTTCCCCCTTCCCCCCCTGCGCCTCGGATGACGTGGGTTCGTGAAGCCTTGAGGGTGTGATGTACGTACGTCCCTACATGTCTTTCTTCCTTGGACGCTCCTTTGAAGGCAGGCGCGAAGGATGGAAGGAGGGAAGGGGGGGGGGGGGGAAGGAGGGATGGAAGGAAGAAGGATGGAAGGAGGGAGGGAGGGAGGGAGGGAAGGAAGGAGGGAGGGAAGGAAGAAAGGAGGGAAGGAGGGAGGAAGGGGAGGGAAGGAATCTAATCTTTACATCTTTATTTCTTAATCGCGAAGAATAAAAAGCAAAGAAAAAATCAAATTGACTTTCTCTCCCCCCCTCCAACAAATCTGAAAGGTCTCTGAAATCGACATTGCAGTATATATATCTATTTCTTCACCCCAATAATGAAAAAAAACTCAATCTACCTTACTCCCCCCCCCCCCCCGTCGCAAATCTGACAGGCCTGTAAAACCGACTTCGCGATATACATATATTTTCATTTCTTCATCCCCAAGAACAATAATAATAATAATAATAATAAAATCTTCCCCCCTCCCCCCGCCTGCAAATCTAAAAGGCCTATAAAATCGGCACTGAAATATATATACATATATATATATATATATATATATATATATATATATATATATATATATATATATATATATATATATATATATATGTATAATCCTTACATCTTAATTTCTTCATTCCCAAGAATCAAAATTAAAGAGAACCTCAATCCCCCCCCCCCCCCAGCAAATCTGAAGGGCCTATCAAGCCGACTTCGCCTCCGCCGCCAGTGTCGCAAAAGTGCTCCGAAGTCGCTTCACAAACCCTGAAACTTTTCCCATCCCGACGCCTTCTGCCTCAAACGACATTCCGCTGGCAAGTCCGTTCTGTAAGCTCACGTGCCGATAATTCTTATGTATAATTCTTGCTTCTTAATTCTTAGCGGATAATTCTTATATATAATGCTTGTTGATGATTATGAACACAGGCGATCCTAGCAGCGAAAAGAATCTCCGAGGAAATGAAGATAAATAAAGAGATGAATAAAGAGATGTACAGGAGTAAAGATAAATAAGGAGATACACAGGAGTAAAGATAAATAAGGAGATACACAGGAGTAAAGATAAATAAGGAGATACACAAGAACAAAGGTAAATAAAGAGATAAATACACCGGTCCACTTGACCCGCAGATGAAACCCAGGCAAGGAGTGTCGCATAGCAGTGCCATCAATCCCCATGAATGAAAATAAAAGAGAGAGAAAAAGTATCAGTACTTCTAAATTCACTTCCAGGGGGAAAAAAAAGGAAAAAGAAAAAAATAATAATCGTAATAAAAGGAACGAAAAAAATGAAGAGCATACTCAATGGCGGTCCCGAGTCACTAAAAGCAAAAGCTGGATAAAAGCAGAAGAAGAAACCCCAAGTCTTCAAAGGGCTTCTTGCTCTGGACGTCGGCGGCTCCCGTTCCCTGAGCCGCGGGCGGTCACGTGACGCTGACGTCATCAGTGCGGTTACATTATGCGTCTTGGCGGCGAGATGTGGAGGCGCTGAGGCGGTCGAGGCGATGCTCGGCCTCCGTCACTCAAGGCCGAGGCGGAGGGAGACGTGAGAGGGAGAGAAGGAGGGAGAGGCAGAGGGAAAGGAAGAGGAAGAGGGAAAGAGAGATAGGGAGAGAGAGAGAGAGAGAGAGAAAGAGAGAGAGAGAGAGAAAGAGAGAGAGAGAGAGAGAGAGAGAGAGAGAGAGAGAGAGAGAGAGAGAGAGAGAGAGAGAGAGAGAGAGAAAGTGGGGGGAGATAGAGAGAACAAGAGGGATGGAGAGCGAGCTCGAAATGCGGCGGAAAAGGGGAAGAAAATCTCCTCAGGCACTGCATCGTCATGAGTCCCTCCGCATGTTGTCACTGCTTGCACTGCACAACCGGATCACTGCCATTTGGACCGCTGTCGCACCGAGACGCAGACATCCCACAACCAATTTTTTATTTTTTATCTATTTATTTTTTTACATGACCGATAAAAAAGGGAGAGTGGGAATGACAAAAAATAACTGACTTTCCTATAATCACCCTGGACAGTTTAATTCAACCAGGGCTAAAAAAAACACTGAAGCGTCAGTATTACATCAAAGGAAATCCAGAAGCACGCTGAAATTACCTTTCACTGCTATGATTTAAATGAATTTGAGCCACTGAACCAGAAACAAACAAACAAAACAAAGTGACGGATTATGCCCCATTCGAAACGAAAATGGAAAATTATTCATCTGATGCGCAAGCAAATCAATATTCCTTTTAATGTGCCTGAAATTCAGGGTACTCTTAATGGCTAATATGCTCCTCCCCCTTCTCCTTTCTTTTAAATTTCCACTTCATTATCTCTCCCTCTCTCTCTTCCCTCTCCCCCTTCATCCACCTCTTCTCTTTTTCTCTTCCCTCCCCCTCTCTATCTCTCTCCTCTCTGCCTCACCCCCTCTCTCTCCCTAACTACATTTCCTGTTCTCCCTCTGCCTCCCTCCCCTATCCTCCCTGGCCACCCCCCCTCCCCCTCCCCCCCGCCGCACAAATACTGACCGCCGGCCCTTTATTCTTCCAAACAGAATTTACATGACGGGGAAATTGGGGTATTTCCGGCGCGCTGACCCTTTTCTCCTTGCAGTGATTGCGAGGAGTTGCCTTTCCCCTTTATGCTGAATGGTCGCTAAATGTCTGATGCGCAGGTGGAGATGTGAAATGGCTTGAGATGTGATTTTGGGCGAGTGCGAGGGGCGGGGGTGGGGGAGGAAAAAAACAGGGGGGGTTGGTTTTCGTTCTGAATTAAAGAGATGGTATCATGAGGAGTATAATTGTATGGGCGTATATATAATCACTTTCTCTCTTTGTCTGTCTCTGTCTCTGTCTCTGTCTCTGTCTCTGTCTCTCTCTCTCTCTCACACACACACAGGCAGATACACGCGCAATACGCACGTATATAAAATAAAATCAGATATCCACAGCAGGTTCGCAAATAACAAAAAAAACGAGCTATATATCAACGGGACGTCTCACTAAAAAAATCACATTCAAAAGAACAAAACCAAACAAAATCATAAAGAAAAAAAAAACACATAAAACTCAACTACAACTCATGAAAAAAATAAAACCCTCAAAATAAAGCAGAACGCGTGACACATCGAACCAAAACACGATATTGTCAAACGGCCTCTGCAGATTGACTTCAAGCCCACTATGAGGCCGGGGCGTGGGGTCGACTCCAACCCAGCGCCAGTGCCTTTCACTGTCGCACTGAAGAGGCCAAAGCACTGTACTCTCCGCTTCACGACACTATAAGCGAGTCGGTGACTCTACTGCAAGATAGATAGTGGGCGTTTTAACTATACCATAGTAGGGTATTAACGATAGATAAGAAGTATACGTCACCATATCGGCAATATTATACTGTACTGGAGAAGTTACACCACGCCGGCGATACCATACCGGAGATATCACACCATACCGCTGAAATCTCACTATATCTGCGACATCATGCTATATAGGGATACAACACTATAACAGCGATGCCACACTAAATTACACGGCACTAGGGATGTTGCACCAAATTACACTGCACGAGCGCCGTTGCAGTAAACAGGATCTATGGAATGCCTGTTCTCCACACCACGCCAAGGTACACAGCCTCTCAAGACACGCCACTTCGAAACCGCCACACGACCGCTACGCAACACCTCGCTAGCACACCCTCGAGACTTAAACAGCTGATCGCGAAACTAGAAGGAGTAGAAGAAGAAGAAAAAAAAAAAAAAAAAAAAAAAAAAAAAAAAAAAAGGCTGATGGATTTTGCTCTAGACAGAAAGAAAGGAAAATATTGTCCTGCCTCCCCACCCGAAGTGCCACACACGCAAGCATACGCGGGGAAAGAGGGAGACCATGATTGGCTGGGACACGACGCCCGTAAAACACACACTCCGATGGGCGCGCATGACTAAGCATCAACGGGCGCCGATGAGGTAAACAAACCCTTGATAGAGAGGGAGAGGGAGGGAGGGAGAGAGGGAGGGAGGGAGAGAGGGAGAGAGGGAGAGAGGGAGAGAGGGAGAGAGGAAGAGAGAGAGAGAGAGAGAGAGAGAGAGAGAGAGAGAGAGAGAGAGAGAGAGAGAGAGAGAGAGAGAGAGAGAGAGAGAGAGAAGGGGGGGGGGGGGGGGTACCAGTATTCATAACACTCTTTTCAAGAGAATGTCTTAACACGAAAACAATACCGGCTCATACCTACACACTAGCTAGAGGTGGGGAGGGGTATAATAAATCGATTTTAAACCAAAGATGAAGGGGAAAAAATGTATTGAGTGTGTTGATATTTAGTGACTTAGTTTAATCAAAAGAGATTAACTTGTATAATTCGTAGTATTTATGGTCTTTTGGCCATATAATTCCCAATGACGTGTACTTAACTCTGCGGAGAAATGACTTTACGTAGAGAGCAGAGTCTTGACTCTACTTTGGCAGGGAGAACTTGCAAAAAATAATGATTTAATGACTTAAAACAACGAAAGAGGATCATACTTAATAATAAATACTTAAAAATGAGGATATACTCCTTAGAAGTCTAAAAAAGAGAAATATAATAAAAATACAAGTAAATGAATAAATAAATAGAAATAATAAAGAAATGTAAAAAAAAGGAATAACTAGAAATAAAAAAATAATGAATAAGTAAAGAGAAAAACACATACATACAATAAATAAACAGAATGAAATAAATTAAAAAAACAATGAATGAAAAATAGAAAATAGTAAATAGTAATAGTAAATATAAAAATAATAACAACAAATAAATACTGAAATAAAGGAGCCCCAGACCTAACCCAGGAGGCCCACAGATCACGGATGCTGCGAGCGGATGAGACGGCGGGATGGAGATGCCAGCGAGTCTGCAACACGCGTGGCATTACTAGCTAAGGCACTCGGTGGGGGGATGGGGGAGGAGGAGGGGGGGTCTCCGCCACGTGAACATCATAAATCGATGGAGATATAATCGTTACGTATGCAATCATGCAACAATTGCAGTGATAACCCTTGGCAACAATGAGGTATTGACTTTTTGTAGATTTCTAAAGTCTGTCTGTACGTGAATTCTAAACTTTGGGTTCTATTTTATAGGCATGAGAGACATGAGATAAGGCAGGCACAGGCACAGCCGCAGGCACAGGCACAGCCGCATGCACGCACACACACACACACATACATACACACACATTCGTATGCTTGTGTGTGTGCGTGTGCGTGTTCGTGTGCGAGTGTGTCTGTGTGTGTGTGTGATTGTATGTGTCCGCGCGCATTCGTAAGTTCATCTTCAATTAAACATAAAACCCCAAGACAGCAATGCATCTAACTACACCTTCTTTCAAAATCTTAAAGAAGATAAAAGAAGATAACACACCACCCGCTGAAAATAGTATAGTCCCCCCCTCTCTCGCCGGGGGAAATAGAGTCCGTTTTCTGTAAAGGATCTCGCCCCCCCCCTCCTCAGAGCCCGACGTTTCCTCCCATTCAATTAAATTAGCAAGATCATCATCACCTCCGCGCGGACATGTCATGAGCTGAGGTGTCACGAGAGCGCTTGAAGGAGAGGGAGGAAAGCAGAGAGAGAGAGAGAGAGAGAGAGAGAGAGAGAGAGAGAGAGAGAGAGAGAGAGAGAGAGAGAGAGAGAGAGAGAGAGAGAGAGAGAGAGAGAGGAGGGGAGAGTGAGGGGGAGAGTGAGGGAGAGGGAGAGGGAGAGGGAGAGGGAAAGGAGAGAGAGAGAGAGAGAGAGAGAGAGAGAGAGAGAGAGAGAGAGAGAGAGTGAGAGAGTGAGAGAAAGAGAGAGAGAGAGAGAGAGAGAGAGAGAGAGAGAGAGAGAGAGAGAGAGAGAGTGAGAGAGAGAGAGAGAGAGAGAGAGAGAGAGAGAGAGAGAGAGAGAGAGAGAGAGAGAGTGAGAGTGAGAGTGAGAGAGAAAGAGAGAGAGAGAGAGAATGAATGCGAGAGAGAGAGAGAGAGGGGCAGGGAGAGAGAGAGAGAGAAAGAGATCTCTTGGACTAAATTCTAAGTTATTTCCCTGAATAACAATACAACCCATGCTGTATAAAAGGTAAAATGCGGATATAAAAATTTTTAATTAATGAAATCTCTCCCACTCGTTATACATAAGCTTATATGATGTTATGAATTAAACGACTGGAACTGCTGTCGTTGACACAATTCATTACCATTGTGGAACAGTTCATTAACCGTTCCTGTCAGCTAGTTCCGGATCCGGATATTCTGATCTGTCTATTCTCTCTCTCTTTCTCCCTCTCTCCTTCTCTCTTTCTCCCTCTCTCTTTCCATCCCTCCCTCTCGCCCTCTCCCTTTCTCTCTCCTTCTATTTCCGTCTATCAAACAAACACAATTTCCCTCTACTTTAACTCCCATCGCCCAGTCTCCTCCGTCTCCTTTTCTTCCCCACCACCTCTGCAACACCCCCCCCCTTAGGTGCAACCGCCAGACGCACGCGCACATGCAGGCGGAGAGGCATTTGGCTTTTTGACGTCACTTCCTGATATCCTGTGGTTTCTGGATATTCGGGTAACAAGAGCGAGTATTTTCCCCCCTGGAAACAGCTCGGAGATGCAAACACACGCACACACTCACACACTCTCTCTCTCTCTCTCTCTCTCTCTCTCTCTCTCTCTCTCTCTCTCTCTCTCTCTCTCTCTCTCTCTCTCTCTCTCTCTCTCTCTCTCTCTCTCTCTCTCTCTCTCCCTCCCTCTCCCTCTCCCTCTCCCTCTCCCTCTCCCTCTCCCTCACCGTCACTCCCATTCCACTATCGTCAACAAAGGTACAACAATAATAATTATCATTCTTGTTAGTGTTCTACATTTCCACCGCCGGTTTTAGCACTCCTGTCCTGGTCAAAGAACAAAACGCGCTGCCAAGATAAATGCTCAAGATCGGCCTGACATACTTACACACTTCAGGCTATAATGAAGATGCTTGTATGTAACGCCAGTAATATAACAACAGAATGACAGGTAATCGATAGACAAATATTGATTGATAGTAAAATGGTAGGCAGATCTGTGCAATATATACATACATATATATATTCATTTATTTATTTACTTTTTTTGTACATGTGTTTATAGATCTCTATCTAGGTTTCTATCTGTACCTGTCTAAAAATGTATCTTATTATTTATTTTATCTTGTTTATGAGAGAGTCTGTGAATAGGCTGAGTGAGGAGGAGGAGGAGGAGGAGGAGAGAGAGAGAGAGAGAGAGAGAGAGAGAGAGAGAGAGAGAGAGAGAGAGAGAGAGAGAGAGAGAGAGAGAGAGAGAGAGAGAGAGAGAATGAGAAACCCACTTTTCGAACAATCACAACCACCTCGAAACAATTTATTTCAAATAACAAAACCCAACAGCAATCAGAACATTCAGACATATTTCATAAAAAAACAAAAACAAAAAAAAAAAACACCAACAATCAGAAATCTCACGACTGTAGCTTTTTCCTCCTGAAATGTTCAAATTCGGGAAATAAAGAAAAAACTCGAAACTTTTTTTTCGAAACGTCGAAGCTTCGAGATAAAGATATTATTTTGACAGCGATCAGAATTTCCCAAATTTCTATATTCAGTTCTATTTTTATTTATTTTTCTCTTTTTTTCTCAATAGATTGTGTGTCTTCACGAAGCCTTTATTTATTATGTGTGTATTTACTTTAGGAATAAATTAAAAAGTGTTTTGTATAAGTAAATCTGTGTGTGTGTGTGTGTGTGTGTGTGTGTGTGTGTGTGTGTGTGTGTGTGTGTGTGTGTGTGTGTGTGTGTGTGTGTGTTTGTGCGCGCGCGTGTGTGTGTGTGTGTGTGTGTACTTTAGCAAACATGTAGTTGCACAGCAGATAAATGTATCTCCGAGTGCACGTGCATGTACACAGCATTCCCGAACCTCCCCCTCCCCCCCTTCAAGTGGACACAGCGCCCCCTCCTCGAGCAAAAACCATCACCCACGCCCCCCCCCCCCCCCATTTCCCCCTGCCCCCCCGCCACGCCGGTACAAGCGTCTGCGATTTCTTGAGTCTTGAGTCGTCGCCACCGCCGTCCAAGGAAAATATTTGACTTGCACTCTCTGTGTTTGGCCACAGGTGTGTGCTGGTGCGGGCGGGGTGGTGTCAAGGGGTGCTTCTCCGCCCATCTGCGCGCCCACACGCTTATACACCCACACTTAAACACGCGCCCATACACGCTGGCTCGAACAGACACAAATGCGCATTCCTCTTTCTGACATGTTAATCTCCGAGCCATCAAAGAAAACGCGGGGAAGTCAAAAAGGGGGGGAAACTATCCTGCTTTAGAAAAAAAAATCTTGCTCAATATTCAAGTTCTCAGCATCTTGGAGGAGGCAAGGAAAGAAAGGGTTATTGAATGAGACGGAGAAAAAAGGCTGGGGGAGGAGAGGAGGGGAGAGGGGAGGAGGGGAAGAGGGGGGAGGGGAGAGGGGAGGAGGGGGGAGGGGAGGGGAGAGGGGAGGGTACGGGAGAGGGTATGGGGGGAGGGAGGAGAGAGAGTAGGGAGGAGGAGGAGGAGAAAGAGAATGAAAAGAAAGAGGAGACGAAAGGAAGAAGACAAGCAGAAAATAAAGAGTAGAAGGAAATGATAAAGAAGACGGAAGAAAAAAAAACAAAAAAAAAAGACAGGAGAGACGAAAGAGAGAAGAGGAA